TGAGTTTACACTCCCCTGCATACTCCAGCAGTGAATGGGTGTTCCTCTGTCACCTGATTCTCCCTAATAATTGTTTTCTGGATAGATGAAGACAGCCATATTTCAAATCATTTTTTCTTTGTGTTTCCATGATGGCATTTTAGGGATCCTGAATACTTTAGCAATAAATAAGGTTTTTCATCTGTTTTGAATGAATTTGTTCCAATGAAAGATAAGAATGTAATTACATTCACCTGTGGGATCCAGATGCTGGAAAATAAAGGCCTGTGCCACCAGACCCAGGTTCTCCATTTCTTTAAGGATTTTATCTTTTTTCTTTTCTCTCCCAAGCCTACGTATACCTTTAAACACACCATAAACCATTTAGAGGATTTTCCTTTTCCCTTTGAATCTGTCTTTACTATATATCTCTATCTTTTCCTGGACACGGGTCTTTTCTCTCGTAAACGACATTGCTAAAATTAAAGCAGACATTTTAGCTGCTGACTTTGCACGTGGCAGGGTACATTTACTGGCTGCTCTGTGAGCTCTGCGAGCTCTGCTCACTGCCTCAGTTTAGACAGCTATCCCAGAGCATACTGTTGGCTGCTCATGAACACCATTTAATTCACCATTTAATTGTTTGGTAGCAGGGCCTCTTTAAAAAGTCCTGTGCTTTTTTGCCTGTAATGCCGAGCCAGTATGCGCCTCCTTTTAAGTTTTAGTCTCTGTGTTGGTGCCATTTGAAGAATAGGGTTTCTATCCTTTTTAAGCTTTTCTCTCTTAATTAGGAACCAGTAAGTATGAATGTATGTATTTTCACATGGTATTGGCTCATCGGAGAATGTGCAGATCCATTAATTATTTGGTGGATACAAGGTGTTTCTTCCAGGTCTCCCTGCCTCTTTCCTCAGGATTCCCCTCCTCTCTACAGGCCAAACAGTGTTTCATTTATCAACAAAAACAGAAACATGTATACAGAAGAACATCCCCCGACCAAGTGATGCTCTATCCATGTTTTTCTTAACACCTGCCGTCTGCTTATCTAAGCGCATGTCCTATTCACACCACTCTCTTCTTTAGGATGCTCAATTGCAACTTCCCAAACTCTAGAGATTAGTGCCTTGGCTTTTATTTGTTTCATTTGTTTTTCAAGGCAATCTTCCTGTGTATTCCTGGTACTCCCACAATTAGCATGTAAGCCAGGCTGAACTCAGACTCACAGAGATCCACAAGTCTCTGTCTCCCAAGTGCTGGGATTAATGGCATGGGCCACTATAGCAGAGATTCATATTTTTATTTGTCTTTTTGTTTCTGCCCTAAATAGAATTCCACTCTGCAGGCTTTCATGTTCGGGATTCATTATGTAGCATTTTGTAGCATGTATCAAGAATAATGTCTTGAGGGTATTGATTGATTGATGTGCAGAAGCCATGGTTTTGATGCAGAAAGAACATTCCTCATGATTGCTTTGTCCTGGTCAATTTCTGTGAGAGTCATGGTTCTACTCACCTATACTGAAGCTGCAGTGTTTTAAGTGGAGACTTGGTGAATGCCCTCTGACCTACAGGTTTGCATTTATTCCTTCCTCATGGATCAGACAGAATATGTAACTACTGTGCACTTCCACAGAAATAAAGAATCATAAACACCACTAGCATTAAATATGTTAGACAATACAGCATAAGTACAAAAAGAGAACACATTGACAACTACAGAATTCAGGTGCAAAAAACAAAAAAGTCCGAATTTCCTCCTGAGCTGCATTACATCTGACAAAGTGATAATATTTCTCACATGATGTCATATATTCTCTTACTGACAGTACATCACTTCTGAATGCATCCACATTAGTAATTATGCATACTTGCTTAAATACATCTTAAACATCCTAGGATGTATTTTTGGACATCTTAGTTGCATTTCTTTTGTGGGACCATCAGTTCCCAGGCATGGCACTGAGACATAAGGTCAGTTATGGAAGTTTAGCCTTTAGCACAGGCTGGCTTCAAACTACCTCTTATAACTCCAACTTACCTGTTTCTATTAATCTATGTTGTGTCACCTTGCTTTGTACCCATCCTTCTTTGCTTACAATTTGCTCTTCGTTTCTCTCTACACCAAATTCTTTCTGAGTTCTCTCTTTCTGTGAAACTCCAGGTTATTTCATGGTCACACAGCTCTTTATTTTAAACCAATCAGGTGCCTTAGGCAGGTGAGGCAAAACATAGACACATGTTCATGCAGTGTAAACAATTATCCTGTAAGGACTGCCCTCAATTTTTATAACTCTACAAAAATGAAATATTCTTCAAAATAACTCACATTGTTATTTAGCCTAAGTTGCCTGCCATATTGCTATTTTCTAGGTAAATTTTAGATTGTGTCAAATGTGCTTGGTAGTAACTCAAAAATACTTGTAAAAGTAGTTGCATAGACTACCTGTTCTTGTATGTTAATGTTTAAAACAAAACCATGCAGTGCTATTATTACACACATAGTTACTGTGGAAAAAAGATTATTAACCTGTGAACTCAACCATGAACTATACTTTCCAAGTCTACCACTTTTCTATGTAATGGAAGGGCAAGGGAGCTAAGATTCAAATATACATACTGAGCTTGTTGGATTAGAAACATCAATCTCATAGAATTGATTGGGTGCATTATATTACCTTGATCTACAAGTACAGAAATTAAGGAACTTTTCCTCATTGTAAGTATTTTTTCTGAGACATGCCCATGCTGATTCTGCAGTACATAATCACAGCAGCCATAACAGATACACAACCATGTTCAGACATAAAAGTGTGTCTTGTTTGGTGGATATTGCTTGTGCATCTGTTGTGTCCTACTGTTTTTTGCAGAGTTAAATCATCCATTATACAATGTGACTATATTAAAATCGTCTGTATGAGTAGCTGTTTTCATGTACATCCCTACTTTCCTCAAGTCTGCTTACATGTAGGAAAGCACTCTGTCTGGTAACACATGGTCAAACAAGTCCTTTGCTTCAGGGTGCCTTGACATTCAAGGACTTGTCTGTGGACTTCTCCAAGGAGGAGTGGCAGTGCCTGGACTCTGCTCAGAGGGCTTTGTACATTGATGTGATGTTGGAGAATTACAACAACCTGGCCTCTGTGGGTAAGAGCATTTGCCTTGTAGAATTCCTAAGTAATCCATTGTATGTATTAGCATCGTTGTTTGTAAACTCTCTGTCAATTTGCCTTAGAAGCCACAAGAATCCATGGAATGTTTTGTAGAAGAAAAGAACATTTTCATGGTATTCCGTTTTTTTGTTTTTGTTTTTTTTTTGTTGTTGTTTTTGTTTTTACTTTTTCCATGTAAAATATGTCAACCATGCCTCATTTTGATTCCACAATGCAATCAGAAAATTAGTATCATATAATATTTATACCCATTTATTTGAAGCCTGGCAACTATATGTACCCAACATGATACACTTCTGAGGAGTATCTGAAGATGTTCACACTTTAAATTCCCCCAAATGTGTTGAAGATTCTGACAGGAATCCGCAACTGGGAAACATTCCTACATCCCTCTGCTTGGTGTTCTTTTCAGGTGCTTAACACAGCACCTTGGTAGCTTTCTGTATTCTTACTCTAAATTGCACATGGGTCATGGGCTACTTCAGAGAACATGTGGACTATTATATGCAAAGTGGTCCTGGTAACCTCTTGGGTGCAAATGAGATTCCCCTGGATTGTAGAGAGGGGAAAATGCACAGTGTGTTTGTGAATGAGAAAGGCAGCAGTGATGGCTTCTGGTAAAAGAGAAAGGAAGAGCTGAGAATGTTTTTGCCATATTCCACTACACTTGAAAGGATTCTTGGCAATGTAATATAGAATAGCTTCTTGGTGCAAGGATGCATCCTGTCTGTTGTAACTACTACAGCCCAAGCCTATTACACCTGAATTAGGATGAAAATACTAGGACAAAATGGAAATGGAATTGATGTTCTTGACATCAGATTGGAATAATTTTACAAATCATAAGCCCAATGTGGGTGCAGGAAATAGGTTTATTCTTTAATGGCCTTCCTTGATGTCTCTCTCTATAATGATATTCCCTTATCTTCTTAGTAGGAGATAGACAGGCATCAATCTGGAAAATACTCTCAGGAGCTAGTGTAAAGATTAGAGTCAAATAACTCTGTGAAGAAAGTTAACATGGCACCATGTGGAGCTCAGACAAGGGGGAATAGGAATAACCAATAGCTGTCCATGACAGCCCTGTCTCTAGTGATCTGAATCCCTGATATCTGGCAGATTACTGTCTCTCCCTCTGCTACTTTTGAAGTATCTAATGGGTTTTTCTGGAGAGAAAAATAAACCCTGTGAAAATTTGAAGTAAGACTTTAATCTTACTTAAAGTGTAGTTCTGTGAACACTACACTTCATTTCCTATCACTTCATAAGTATAAGTACCATGAACCTGGGATTGAACTGCACTCTTCTTCATAAGATTCTGACGAATTATATAAGCATGGTCACATGGATTCTAAATGTAATGAGTTAAAGAGCACATCCCAAAGAACTTATTTCTTCTTTACTTTTCTGATGCATGTGGTGTATTTGCACATTTTCAATAAGGTTAAGGTATCTGTTGTGATTCACTGACCCTGAAGACTGTCAGTCTGATTTTGTGATAACACATTCCATTAAAGTTTAAGGAAAATATTTTAGTGTGCTGGTTGACTTTTTTAAAAGGGAGAACAAAGGTAGATAAATGTCATTTATTAGATGTTTAATTTGGGACAATCCCTCCTAATATGATCTTACTCACTTTCCAGAAAATTATTACATATGTGATCCTGTCTATCAACAAGTGAAGACTGAAAAGGAGTGTTGTCAGTGTAATGCTTTTGGCAAAATTCTTCATGACCCCTCCACATGTGCACTTTATAGAACAAGTGAAACTACAGAAAACTCTAATAACTACAGATGCAGTAACCACAGGGATGGCTGTCTTGACTCACCAAACCCAGATAGAAAGGAAACCATGCACACTGGAGACGAATCGTACAATTCTGAAGTCTGTGAAAAATCCTTAAATTTGTGTTCCAGCATTACTCAAGTTCAGGGACTCTATGCTGCAAAGGAACAGGATACCCAGGGAGAATATCATGAACGTCTTGACACTACATATAATATTTTGCAACAACGAAACTACACTGGACAGAAACGATACCAGTGTTGGAAATGCAGGAAATCCTTCAGTAGTTCCTCATATCTCACTGTGCATCAGAGAATTCACACAGGAGAGAAGCCTTACACATGTAAAGACTGCAACAAATCCTTTACTGGGAAGTCAAGTCTTAAAATACATGAGAGAATTCATACTGGAGAGAAGCCCTACAAATGTAAGTACTGTGACAAATCCTTCACCTCATTGCCAAATGTTACAGTGCATCAGAGAATACATACAGGAGAGAAGCCTTACATGTGTAAGGACTGTAACAGATCCTTTGCTGTAAGAACAACTCTTATAGATCATCAAAGAATTCACACAGGAGAAAAGCCTTACACATGTAAGGACTGTAACAGATGCTTTGCTGCAAGGACAACTCTTATAGATCATCAAAGAATTCACACAGGAGAAAAGCCTTACACATGTAGTTACTGTCATAAATCCTTTACTGTGAAGTCAACTCTTACAGCGCATCAGAGAATCCATACTGGAGAGAAGCCTTACAAATGCCAGGACTGTGGCAAATCATTTGCAACACGCGCACATCTTCGAAGTCATCAGAAAACTTATACTGGAGAGAATTCTTATATTTGTGGGGATTGTGGCAAATCTTTTCCTGCATGCTTATTTCTTGGGACACAGAAAGAAATCCATGCAGGAGAGAAGCCTTACAAATGCCAGGAATGTGGCAAATTGTTGGCAATCTGCAAATATCTTAGAGGAAATCAGAAAATTCATACTGGGGAGAAATCTTATAAATGTGGGAAATGTGGCAAATCTTTTACTACATGCTCATATCTTAGAATACATCAGAAAATCCATACAGGAGAGAAGCCTTACAAATGCCAGGAATGTGGCAAATCATTTACAACATGCAAATATCTTAGAAAACATCAGAAAATTCATACTTTTGAGAAATCTTATACATGCGAGGAATGTAGCAAATCTTTTACTACATGCTCATATCTTAGAAGCCATCAGAGAATCCATACGGGAGAGAAACCTTACAAATGTAGAGAATGTGACATGTCCTTTGTCCACAGTTCAAATCTTAGAAGACATAAGAAAATCCATACTAGAAAGAAACAGTAAAATAATGTCTGTGATGTAACAAGTCGTTTGCCCACATGAAAAAATCTTAGAACCCTTCAGAGAGTTCACACTACAGAGATGTATTACAGATGTAAGGAATGTAAGATTTTTGATAGCTGCTCATATATTAGAGCACATCAGGAAAGATATATCACAGAGAAACTTCACAAAGTTAACACCAGCATCTCTTATATCCACTTCTCATATCTTAGAAGACATCAAAGAATTTATCCTGCACAGACACCACTGTAAATCATGTGACACAGCATTTACATGGTACTCTTGACTTATAGGTCCCAGCTATACATAATGGAGCTGTAAAGATAAGGGACTTTTGAAAGACTTTGTTGAAGTTTTAAAACTTATGAAAAACACATAGTTAACATTGAAATAAAATTCTGCAAAAGTAACTGTGTGAATTATTTTTTAATGTATGTGAGGTGTCTAGTCTACAGGAATTTCTATGCATCTGTTTGTTTGATGACTATGGAGGCCAGAAGGGAACATCATATTCTCTGAAACTTTGCTTAACAACAGTAGTGAGTTATGTATCTCTTTCAATATCTAAACATTGAGAATAATGCCTTGCAATCCCAGCACTCTGTAGGCAGAGTGAAAAAGATCTCTGTGAGTCTGAGGCCATCACGGTTTATATAGTCAGTTCTAGGACTGTCAGAACATTATAGTCAGTGTCAACAATCATAATGATAATAATAATAAGAAAAAATATAGTAACTTAAAAATGTGGTGCTGTACACTATACAATTAATATTTCCAAGAAACCACATGAATTTATATCATATATAAAACCTATGTGTCGATGTCTGCTAGAAATGACACCCACCAAACACATTGATTTGACAAATCCTTTACCTAGTATTCAAATTGCTAATGAAAGCTCATCCTACCAAAAACCAAACACAAATATTTCTCATTGTCTGTTAACTTTCAAAACTTCATATTTGAATTAAATTCTACCAAAAATCAAACACACAAAACTGTTCCCATAATTTCTCATTTTTTGCTCACTCTCAAAACTTCATTTTAGAATGAGAGAAGCTGTCCATGATGGTGCAGGCATTTCTGATGGGAATGGTGAAAGTCTTGCATCTAGCCCAGCATCTTGACCAAGATCCAGCAAAGCTGAGCTCATGATGCTCACCACCTGACTTTGGCTTTGATCTCCACATCTTGCGTGCTCAGAGTGCTTCTTATTTGTACATCATTGGGATATTGGATTGAAGGAATTTCAAAGATATCATTTATGACTTCTCCTAGGACTACTGCTTCTAAACTTCCCCACAAAGATTATGTGCATACTACTTGTTTGATTTTAGGGAGATATCCTCATCTAACTTCAAGGTCTTCTTTAAACCTTCCAGGAGGCGATGCACAAAAAGAAGCCAGAGGTCTCTAGTAGAGGCTCTGAAATGTTCTTGAAACATCCATGCCTGTACTTAATCAAGAATAAGATAATCAGAACAAAGTGCATCTGTTTTTTCAATACGTTCAGGCGATTATGTGGCACACCAAATAACAATGTTAAAATGGCCAGAGTTAACCTCTGCCCTACACAGGGACTCATATTGATGGGAACAGAATATTGCAGAAACTGATCAATGAATGAAGTGTCAGGACCTTCAGGGCTTAGAAAAGTTAGCTTGTGTGGGGCAACTTTGGTGTCCCATGACCATGGAATAATACTGCCAGGATTAGACATATACATTAATTTTCTAAGATATATTGTATGAATATTATATTAGGCAATAAATAGAACAATAACTGCAGCAGTTTTGGCCTGTGTGTCTTTCCTGGACACACTGACAATCAAGAGATAATAAAACACTACTAGGAAGTCCTGGTCAATTTCTCCCACCAGAGGCTGGAAAGGGAGGTTGCTAATCAGAAGTCCAGTGGTTTCTGATAGCCTCTGATTTCCTGGAGTGCACAGAACCAGGCCTGTAACCATGAGTTTTCTTCACAGTTCCAGTAGAGGACCCAGTATTGCGAGCCGCTATGGAAGGCAGTCCTTTCCTGGGGTGCTTTTTACCACCTGTGGGTTTGAGGCCACTCTGCTTTGTAGGAGCCATGCTATAAGCACCTCCTTACTTGCCCTCCTGCTCCCTCTGCTGGAGCTCAGCAAGTGAGAGAAGGCACTGGAGTTAGTGGCGTGGCTGCAGCTGCAAACACCAAAAATATTCTTTTAGTGTAATCTAGTAAATATTCAAATACATGTGTTGATATTTGCAAACAGTCTTTTTGCTTTGGTAGAAAGCACACAAAGCTCTTGAAGTTTACAGTCATTGAGGCTCACTTCCACGTTAAATCACTTCCAACTTAAAAGAGTGGCACATAAAAATGGAATTTGACATTCCTGATATGTAAACATAATTGAATTCCAAATAGAGATTTTGTGAGATCCACAGGCAGGTTGTAAACGGTGTCACTTAAAATTGACATTTTTTTGCCCACTGCTAGTCTTCCATCTCAGACACTGACACCCTGTTATGTACATTCAGCATTCTGAAAAGTGTCTGACACCTTGGTGGCAAATAACTATAATCGCAACACAAGAAGGCAAAGACAGATGAATCTATAAAGTGTGTTGTAGACAGCCTGTTCTCAACACAGGATTCAACTAAAGCCAGGGCCTCATGGTGAGACATTGCTCAGGTACAAAAGAAAAGAAAGGAAAAATATGTATTTGTGCTGACTTCTTAATGTTTCACCTGAATACCTGGAAAACACAGTAGGCTTTTTAATGGTATCACATGGCAGTGTTTTCACAGTTAGAAAAGGCATTATAAAACAGTTACTGTTGGCACTAGGCTCTAATCCCAGCATTTGAGAAGCAGAGCCAGGTGGATCTTGGGATTCCTTGCCAGCTTGGTCTACAGTGGGTGTTTAAGGATACCTGGGATTACACAGAGAAACAATGTCACCAGGGTGTGGGGAAAAAGTAAAAAACTGAATACATTACAATACACGATAAAATTAGAAAGTATCTTTTTAAGAATTATGACAAGTCATTAATATTAGAAAACTATCTACAAGAGACTTTTATCTCCTTGGTCCAAGATAAGCACTATGTCCGCGGACAGATGATCAAATGGTTAATGTTCATTGTTATGTCTCAGACTGAGCTCACAGTGTTGTTCTGTCTTGCTCAGGATTCAACATGTAGAACACACAAAAGTGGACCTCAGAGAATTCTACCCCCAGTTTCTCCCAAGTACTAGGATTAAAGGTATGAGGCAAAACAACTGTTCCATCTTGTGGTAGTATTTTATTCATGCTCTACCAAATAAAGCTTGCCTGGAGGTAGAGTGTAGAGCTAGACACTCGATGTCCATAGAGGCCGGGCAGTGGTGGCACACACTTTCAATCCCATCACTTGGGATCAGGAAACAGGAAAATCGGGTGATCAAGGCCACCCTGCTGTACCAAAGCTTGAAGCATTCTAACAGAGAAACTGAGGTCACACCCTTAATCCCAGCAATGAGGAGGTGGGAATGAAGTTGCTGGGCAGAGAGAGGTATATCAGGCAGGAAGAGAGAGCAGCTTGGAGCATTAAGTCTGAGGATTCCTAGAAACATCTTCCCCTTTGGTCAGAGGATTCCTGTAGAGGGATGTTCACTTTGCCTCCTTCTGTGAAGCTGACCACGCCCATTGGGGGGTGGAGCCAGGGGCGGAAGTGACCTCTGGAAGAAGGTCTGAGGAGGAGCCCTGGAATGCTCTCTCTTGCTGGCAGGTCTTGGAGAGGAGAGCTTCCGGTACAAGTTGCTGGTGTTCATCTGTCTAGGTTGTAGGCCATTTCTCCCTGAATAAACATCTATTTGGTCATCCTGATCGTCATTAAACCGCAATAGATTCAGGAGAGGTAAGAAGTCTTGCTATAGGCTGGGTCTTTTACTTCTCTGATTTGTCAGCATTTACACTGATAACCGTCTCTGGGTTTATAGGACTAATTGGTATTCTGGCTACACACCCTGTTGAGTTTTATTTTGTGGTCTGTTGCCTGCCAGTGGTGTAACTGTGGGCTTTTCTCAGGAGGAAGTTCGAGGCCTACAGCCTGTTTACAGGGCTTTGTACTGGGATGGGATGTTACAGGGATGCAGCAGACTGGTTAGTGTGGATGAGAATAATTTGTTTGTTCCTCCTTGGTGTCTCTTGGAAAAATGATCCCTAAGAGTGTTCCCCCTTGGGAGATGTAAGACTTTCACCAAATTTGGTCCATGATATATTCATTACATAGTCTTTTAATGTTTGTGATCCCAGTCATTCAGATCTGTTTTTGCCCCTTGGAGTTGAGTGAGAAGTGATGGGAAAGCGGCATTCAAGTTGCATTCAAGGAAAATGTTTTCTAGGTATTTTCAGTATTGTGACTCTGCATGACCATGGGAAATCACTGGAAGTTATTACTGTAGACATCCACTGACAAAGGTCTCAGAATTATCCTGCTGTATCTGAGAAATCTAGTTGCTTTCTGAGCCATGTTTTTCTCATGTGCCGGGTAAATGATCACCCAGATATGCTCACCCCTGGAGCCCAACAAAGAGCCCTGTAAAGTGGAGAAGGAGGACACAGTAGCTACATATCTGATGAGCCAAATATAGTTTTGCCACATTCAGATTCACTGGAAGTAATTTCTAGTGACATCCACTGACAAAGGTCTCAGAATTATCCTGCTGTAGTATGAGAAGACTCACTACATGAGAACTGAGTCTAGGAGGCAAATCAATTTTATATGAATATGCATGTGAGTCCTGCACAGTGGGTTCATGTTCTCCTCCAAGTTCCATCCTCTCCTTTTCCCAGAGAGTGCCTAGTTTCCCAGTATCAGACACAGTTTCCCACTTGTTGAGAAGGCTTTAAGTCCAGGTAGATTCTGTTGGTCACCACCAATGATTGTCTGTCAGGCTTGTAGCATGTGTGGCTTCATGCAGTGTAGAGCATTGTTGTGATCACAATTGTTATAGTTGTGTATGACTGTTGGCTGG